GATGTTTTCTTCATCATGCCTCAATCAACTGTGTGAACATATTCTAAGATACTTTTTTTGTATTGTGCATGGCAGTACCAAAAGATATCATGGCTTCTTGACAAATACACAATGTTCACAGAAAACAAGTTTGGAGGTGCTAGCTCCTTTGGTCAATCTTTGATTACCAAAGCCTGAGGTGGTGAAGCTTCTCAAACATAACCTAGATGCATATGCCACAAAGTGGTGGCTTTAGAAAAAAACATCAGCAACAACAACTGTTCCAATCATTTTACCATCCTAAAGATAGTCAAGATTGTAATGTCGAACTCCCTTTATAAAAATCAGTGATCCGCAATATATTCTCAGAACTCCTGCCTCAATAACTACCTTATAGCCCTTGGACTCTAATGTCTCAACTAACAGAAAATTCTTCCTGATACTTATAACATATTTAACATCAACCATATCTCTTACAGTATCATCATTCATCCTGTTAAACATACTCTCTACACAAAGAGTATGAAAAGCTTAATTATTTTCATAGTCACTGCACTGCAATCCAGCTCTTTGTACATACAGAACCACCCTCGATGACGACAAATGTGATAGGTAGCACCTGTGGCCAAAATCCATCACGAATCAACTGTAAACAAACCATAAGAAACTAAAAGAAATGATACATCTAAATCTGTCTCTTCACATCTTTCCACAATAATATTGGTTTTCGCCTCAAATGCAACTTTATTCCCTTCTTCGGCTTAGAACAATCTTTCTTCCAAACGACCAGTCTCGAAATAGAAAGCACGCTGATTTTTCTCATGACTATGCCCAAGAGACTTGCTCCGCCTTTAAGAAGTGTCGTTGCTACCACCTTTCATTGTTGAATTCTTTTTTTTCTTCTCAAAATTTGTGCGTTAAAGTGTGCCTCAACTGAATCAATCTTTGTGGACTTCTTGATCATTCGATGAAACTCGTGATTCAATAGTATCGTAGTCACTTCACCATAATTTAAGACCTCCTTATGAATGAGTGTCATTGTGAAGTTTTCATACTCATATTGAAGTGAATTTAACAGAATGAGCGCATTGACTTCATCTCCAACCTCCCCATCTAAATTTAACAGATTTACTAATAGCTTTGTGAAATCATTCAAGTGTTCATTAATAGTAGCGTCTGTCTCATTTGAAATATGTAGAATCAACACCTCAAAGGGAAATAGTTTGTCACACTCTTCATGAGATACTTATTCTCCCGCATCTTTCATAATGTACCTACAAAATTCCTTATCACCACCACATATTTGATCTCAAAGGTCAAGCAATTTCAAATCAAATCACAAGCACTCATATTCATCTTCAATCAATCTCTCTCTGACATCTCTTCAAGATATTCATCACTATCTAGGACTTCCTTCAGATCTAAGGAGCACAGTATGTTTATCACCTGGCTTTGTCACATGTCGAAGTTTTCTTTGTTGTTGAATTTCATCACAATGATTTTGATGGGATGTGTAATCACCCGATAAATCAACTTTTCTAATTTCATAGTAAACGTTGAAGAATATGACATTGTGCTATCATTCATGGCTATCACTGTTGAAATCTCTCCAAAAAAAAATTCCTCTAACAGAATACCTAAAAAAACAAACAAATGAAAATGAAATAAATTTTAGAAAATAAAAATTTCTTTTTTCTAAAATTTCCTCTTTTTTTTCTTTTTTTTCTTTTCCAATTTATTCTTCTTTTCCAAAATTGCCTTTTCAAATGCTCTCTAAAAAAACTTTATTATTTTTGTTATCTGGAAGACTACACCGAACCACGCAAAACTACGTCTTTCAGGCCAGGTGGTTTGTGAGTCAAGCCGACTGGTGAGCCTGCTCGAGCTCGACTCAATAGGTGGATCATGAAATAAGCTTGTTGAGCTACCAAGCCAGGCACAAGCCAGCACCAACTTAACTCAGTTAGCTTGGAAACTAATTCATTTTAAAAAATATTAATATAAAATATACTTGAAATATAATAAATTTAAAAGTTTTGCCTTTAAAGTAATAAAAAATTTTAAAAATTATTATTATTTATTTTCATATTAAGTAATTTCTTATTATTTCTCTAATAATTACTTTTTTATTAGTCATTTTATTATAACAATACTTAAAATTAATATTATTTTCTCTTTTATAATAAACACGTCAGCCCGTGAGTCAGCTCGAACTTGTAAACTAAGCTAGAGCTCCTGCTCAAACTCAATAAAATTAATTAAGCTCAAACTCAAGCCGAGGGTGAGGGTGACTCAAGCTCAACCTGTTTACACCTCTATCGCCTAGCTTGCCGCCTATTCCACGCTAGACCTCATCGAAGCTACCGAAACTTGCGGAAGCCGCCGGTCCACCGTCGAAACTGCGGAAACTGTAGCCGCCATAACAGCCACATCATTTTTATCGAGATCCCTCCTATCAAACACCAATTCTCTAAATCTAAGCCATCAACCTGCCACCAAATCTCAAAGTTTGTCTGCAAAGCATGTCGAACCACCTGCCGCAACAAACACAAGCAACACACACCATATTTATTGTCATCAAAGCCGAATCTTGTTCTGATCATTAACTCAGTAATCTAATCACAATAATTTTATGAAAATAATACCAAAATAAAGAAATTCACACAACAACAATCAAGTACACAAGGTTTACAGTATTTGACATTAAGTTGATTCAACCACTCCCATGGGGAAAGAGATTTCGCTAGTAGCAAATGAAAGAAACTAAAAAACTTAGAGGTTACAACTTCAATACTTCTCATCATAACTCTCTCATGAGCGAAGAAATATTACATCAGTACTACGCACGTAAAAATAACGTACGTAGCCAATCAAAACACGCCACGACATCTCGCACGGTAGAGAAAAAAAAACGGCGCAGTAACACGGAGAATATTCCCTCCTGTGTTATTCATGTGTTATTGCGCGTTATTCATGAGTTATTGCATGTTATTCATGTGTTATTGATGTGTTATTGTGTTATTATAACACCAAGAATATTCTCAGGATACAATAACACATGAATAACACACAATAACACTTGAATAACACGAGAAATATTCCGGACAGAGAAAAAAACGACGCAGTAACACAGAGGAATATTCTCTCCCATGTTATTCTTGTGTTATTGTGTGTTATTCATGTGTTATTCATGTGTTATTGTGTTATTATAACACCAGGAATATTCCCAGGATACAATAACACATAAATAACACACAATAACACATGAATAACACGGTGAGGAATATTCCCCGTGTTACTGCGCCGTTTTTTTTCTGCGTCGCGCGGGATATCATGACGTGATTTCATTGGATACGCACGTTCCTCTACGTGCGTAAACTGATGTAATATTTTTTCCTCATGAGCAGTGATATAAATAAAACAAATTAAACTATAATAAATTTTCAATCGTATAACTTTTATATGTTTTTCTGAAACCGTGCGAATAAATAACTAAAATATGATTTGAATATTTTTAAAAATAACCATTACATCCAAATATGCTCATTTAAATAAAAATATAAGCAAAATAAAATAAAAATAAAAAAAAAATAATAAGAAAAAAATGTAAAATCCCAAAAAGAGACGTGATATAAACGAACCAAATATAAAACAATCACAATCATTAAAATTTTAAATCAACAAGCACAAAATATGAATGAGAACATATACTCATAATATGAAATCCACATTACTCTCAGCCCCACCATAGCACTACTTCCGACACATAAAATGACAAGTACAGATAAGTAATGTTGCATAGTAATTTTCTTTTGGGAATTAATGAAGGCTCATCACAAATTCCATCAATAAATTAACAGCAAATATAAATCAAAGGGCTTATAAAACCACCAAATACAGAGATAAAGGAACTTGACCCCAAAATACAAATGTGAACCCACCACAAGAAGCTCACCAAAAAGAGAGGCTCAAAAAATGAAAGTTAATGGAGTTCCATCGAATAGTACCGAAAAGAATTCGGATAAACTAAACCAACAACATTTCAGTAGTGCTGGAATATGCGGCACAATGTGCTTAAAAATAAAATAAAGAATCCCAGATTATAAATTTCAAACGCTCAGCTTGCCCGTCAAAATAATAATAATAATAATGAAAGATTTACATATATACCATTTCAATTCCAATCCATTACTTGTCGAACACCTAAACTTCAATTTTTACATACCATTATAATTACAATCCATCACTTATCCAACACCTAAACTTCAATTTTTACATACATACCACCCAACCTATGCATGAAAAGGTGCAAATCACTTTTTAAAATTCAAAGTAATATTTTTTATGTGATATGAAAAATTTGATTGGTCTAAAGCAAAGTTTAGGACCTTAGGTTTTATCATGCAATTTCATAACAAACAAAAAAAGACCAGTAAATATCATTGTCCATCACACATCCAAGTATGAACATGTATGACCTGCTAAAAAAAAAGACTTCAAATCAACAAAAACAAAACCAATAAAACAAATATCAAGTAAACTGGGAGGAGTTACCCAGGACATAAAAACACTACAGAACCAACCTAAAACAGCCATTAACGAACCAAAGTGGAGATAAAGCATAATAATTCCGATTCATTTCTCTCTCACTTCCTTAATATTCCATCTCCTAAGTTTTGTAAACCACCAGCATTTTAATTTTCAACATCAAATTAGTATGAGAATAGTACCCCAGGTCAATTATTCTATCATTCTTCTTTCCAAATACACTAAATAATAGGAAGAGTTGCATGCATACTGCTTTAACTCCTAAGTATTTACATATCTAACACCCAATTTTAGTTTTAATATGTATGCCACCTTACCTATACATGTCAAAGGTGGATTTCATTTTTTAAAGTTAAGATGGTGGTATTTTGGATGTGATATTAAAGAGTTGGGTGGTATAAATGTAAAAAAGTAAAATTCAGGTGTTAGATATGTAAATGCATATGAATTGAGAGGTATGCATGTAAATGCCCCGTAATAATTATGAAATTGAGTAAGAAATAAAGCTTTTTAGTTGAGTTGTGGGCAAGGGTGCTTCTTATGTACTTGATAATTTGGTCGGAGCAGAAAAAACTGGCTATTCAGCAGTTAACTTTTAATCGATTTCATAGAGAAAGCATTAAAAAATATATATAATCATGGGTTTCTCAATCAATATTAACAATCAAACCCCTCTTTGGATAATCTTTAGTTTTTTCGCCTTTTAACCAAGCCATCCAACAATATAAAGAATGCTTGGTCGAGCACCCTTTAAACCAAATTTGCTTCCACCTGCCCACCATCAAATATCCTTAGGATTAGAAAATAAGTTATTCACAAACAAGAAAAAAATATCCAAAACTAAGGACGGAGCAATTCTCGAAAAGGTTTGATAAACATTCTTGATTGATAGCGGCCAGGGAATCAAAATTTTTCCGACAGCCCTCCTCCATAATCGCATCAAGTTTCGCATTAAAAGAAAGAGGGATTTACATGCATACCACCCAATTCCTACGTATTTCCATATCTAGCACCTGAAATTTGATTTTTACAACTATGTCACCTTACCTACGCATGAAAAAGGTGAATTTCACTTTCTAAAAGTAAAAAATGTGGCATTTCTAATGTGGTATGATAGATTTGATTGATAAAATGTAAAACCAAATGTTTACGTGTCAGATTTATATATACATAGGAGCTGGGTGGTATGTATGAAAATGCCCCTAAATGAAAAACTGAATATCAAGTGACATACAAGTACTAATAATTTCAAAGAAAGAAAAATCCTCAAGCCATGGGTCTTAAAATAGAGAATATAAAGACCTGCTTCCAACACTAAAAATATATTTTCTCCTCATGAGTTGTGCGGTCTATGTTGATCTCTTTCCACATGCGAATTTCAAAAGAGAAACCCCTCAAGCATTATAACTCAATTCATTCCTAAATTTTCGTCTAAGACCTTTAATGAAACAAGTAGTTTTAATAATTTAATCTTGAGATAAATCGTTAGCCATAAGATATGCAAAACCTGGAAAACTTTCAAAAGCACTAAAAACATTTTGTTTCTAACTCTTAAATTGATTATCCAAATGGTCTCTACATTCATTAAAAGATAATAGTGCTCTTTAAGTTTGTGTTCTCATTATTAATGCTATCTCATGCTGATTTTATTTTACCTACAAAAATTCTTTAAAATTCAACTCTTCTGAAATAAAATAGTTGATAATGATTAATAATATCTTTGAAATTATTTAGGAACGCAATTTTTGAACTTCATGATAGTTGATGCGTTCTGTTTTAAAATCATAACTTATGCAGTTTAAATTAAATCATTTATCAATTTCGATCAACCCTATTGATATGTGCTGCATTTAATAAAGATCAAGAAGCAACCATAAATTCTGCACAAATTTTAAGCGAGCATGTGAGGGTATAAAATCCCTTATATAACTAAAATGATGCAATGAATATAATCATACAATAGAAACTAAGAAAGCATATTAAAGATCGTTAAACACAAAAACACAGTGTCTTCAATTTCAAACTAAAAAATATGAGAATTAAATTACAAGAATAATGCAATGACCGATTATAACAATAAAAGAATTAAATTACAAAAATCAGAAGAATTCAACAATAATTGTAGCAATAAAAGATTAGCAAACATTTAAATTTCTCTAAAACTAAAATGATAGCTGTACGAAATTTGAATAAAATCAAAAACTCTTGAAAGCCAACAATAAGATATTTAGGTGGAATTTAGATAAAGAAAAGAGTTGGCCAAATTAAAGACAATCCAAGCCTGTGCAAATATAAAGAGATGACTTTCACTTAAACTATGACAATCGCATTTGCAACACAATCAAATGAATTAGACATCCAACGGGCACATAAAATTGAAAATGGAATCATATACGCAAGAAAATAAAAGCTAATTTTACAAACCCTCATGTGTTGATATTTATAAGCAAAGACCCTAAAATTAGATTCTATAAATTTTAATCACTATAGTGATGTGGATGAAGCTCAACAGAATCACAAATACATTGTCACAAGTGCCATCTTATTGTAATAGGGGCCTACTGCAGAAGCTGCCAGAATACACAAGTAAAAGAAGCCCACTCTAAGAGCTGCTAAAGGATAACGACGAGAGCCACCGAAATATCCATCAAGGATATCACATGGCTGTAGGAACCAAACTGAAAATTCAAGTTTTAAATGCAACAGAATTCCAGCCCATCATGAAAATCACACAAATAAAGGAACTAGGCAGAGAATAGAAACTATAAAGTTTTTATGAATAATAGACTTCCTGAAAGAACTAGGCAGAGAATAGAAACTATAAAGTTTTTTATGAATAATAGACTTCCTGAAGGGTTTCAGCAGCTTAGTTCTCCTAGGAGAGCTGAGAAAGGAAATGCAGTAGCAGCTGCACTAGAAGGTATAATATTTTTGTTTCCATAATGCGAACCATGAAGCAACCACTCTTACATACAGTGAAGATAAAGGAAGTCGTGTCACCCTGCAAGACTTGCAACACCTTCCATGATCACAATAAATGTCATAAATTCCCAAATTCTGGGTTTTAGATATTTAAATGCATAAGCATTGCGTGGAAGCTATGTAAATTTCCCTACAATTTTTGCCATTCCTCAATTATATATAGGTCAACTGCAATATCAATTTTAAAACCTCAAGTAAGGTAACTACATTGCGTTTGAATATCATCTGTACACAGATTTTATTTGCCTAAAAAATACTATATTATCAATACATACTCCATTAAAAATCAAAGGCGAGAAATTTAGCATAAACTAAACTAGAATTCTCCCAGAAATAATAAATAAGGCATAATATAGAGTTTTAGAGTTTGAAAATAATTATTAGGGACTATTGCACTTCAGATTAATATTTCCTTAAAAAAAATACAAGTATCTCACTTTGATAGGGGTGTGTACGATTGAAAACCGGCTTGAAATCGGATCGAAATTTTTTTAACCTAATCGAAATGGGATCGTGCATCGATCCTATTAAATTTCAATCTAATCCGGTGTGAATCGATCCGATTTTCGAGCCGGTTCGAATTGTAAACGAGCCAGCCCGAATGTCATTTTTGGCTGGTGAGCTAGATCGGTCCGACTTGAACCCACATGCCCCGTCGATCTAATCGAACTGACAATGCATTATGCATATAAAATTAAGTGTTTTGGTGTTAAATATATAGATACATAAGAATTTATTTCGATCCTGATTCGAGCCGAGGGCAGATTGAAATCAGATTGAAATAAAATTTGATCTTTTAATTTAGCTAGTAGCTTGCTCAAATGGTTCGATCTGATTTTCGAGTGATTTACGATCTTCTAGCTAATTTCACAGCCCTACACTTAGGGCATGTTAAACACATTATCATTACAATTTTGTATGATCAAATTTGTTCATAATACAAAAATATAGTTTATAAAAATTTCTTTGATAAATGAACATAATAAAAAAATGCAATTAAAAAATAATCTGACATTCAATTTAATTAATTTGAACGTACGTTTAAAAAATAATAAAATATACATTAGAATCAGACATTCCCAAGGACACAACATGCTCAAGTGGCCCTAACGATTCTAGTTATTTAAACCCTACCTACTGAGGGTTAGTGGCAAGCCGATCATAAGACTCATCAGCTTGCAAAGGACTTGAAATAACTACAAGATAACTGAAATCTGTCAACTTAATTAGGCCTCCAGACCCATAGTCCAAAAGTTGAACCCCAACAGACCCATCAGATAGACTACAATTGGTTCATCAAAATCTGTGCAAAAAGAAACATAAATTATCACAGAAATAAGACAACTTCTATTAAGAATAATTAAGAAGGTATCTTGGTATGGTAAACTAATCTTAACAGGCAAAATTAAATATATCGCCTAAAATGTTCCTACATTTTATCCAATCAGGTCTAGGATAGCATAAATTATCCCACCAGGCCGCCTATAATTGGTTCATCAAAATTCATACAAAAAGAAACGTAAATTATCAAAGAAATAAGACAACTTCTATTAAGAAAAATTAAAAAGACAACTTGGCATGGTAAAACTGATCCTAACAGGCAGAAGTAAATATATCACCTAAACTATTCCTACATATTATCCAATCAGGTCTAGGATAGCAACATCGCATCGCTTACCACTTTCCCATCTAGTGCCAAATAGTAACTTATGAGAATAACAATTGTGAGAAACTTGAGAATAAGACCAAACGAAAACAATAAACTTGGTAAGCAGTATAGTAGTCTGGCATCATGCACAATACAGTCACTTACAAGTGAGCCCAAAACAGATACCCATCATCCCATTATTAGAGAGCCATCTCCCATGTAGTGTTGGTCACTAACATTCCATGAGAAGGCATGAAGCCATCAGACATGTCATCGACTACAACATAATTCATCTCATTTTCATGCTACACCAACTACCATTTTTATGCAAACATTTCATGATGTTGGTTTTCAGTCCTCTCATACAATAATAAACGCATTTCAAGTAATCATCGAATGTAAAATTAATGTAAGGATCCAGTGAAAATATCTCATGGAAAAGAATTAAAGAGAATAGGTGGGATGTCATGCAATGAAAAATATTTAGTTCCCAACTTTAGTGTACTCATGAAGTATTAATTTCAATTCTTAGTGATTGCTCACCTTAGTTGTTGGTGATCCTAATAGTAGAGCCTGTACTCCATGCCTAAGCTACAAAAACCTTTCATTGAAATTCTTAGGCTTGTACCATGGAGAGTAGACAAGGAGAAAATTGACGACAATAACAAGAAGCAAAATAGAGTCATTAGGTCAACTGTGCATACGATACTTGTTTACTACAATATTTTCCTTAGTCACTTCCAAAACTATGTGATATCTTTTACCACATTAGCCCGCATGTCTTACCATATTCTTTGTCTGCTATTAATTTATGTCACAAGGTGGTACAAACACATTTTATGAATCGAATCATTGGACATGTGATACTTGACAGCTAGTGTAGTCTGATGAGTATAACAAAGCTAATCTTGAATCATTTAAAGATGTTTCCCTTTTGTTTTTGACTTGTCCGGTCACTAAAGCATATGGTCTAATCTCATCAAGTAGTCTATGGCATTGGGAAATTTTGTAAGTAAAATTTTTATCCTTAAACCTACCCTCATAGAAACTCCATCCTCAATTTTTTTTGTCATTGAAGCTGTAGTGATATTTTTTGCGCATGTTCAATTCCATCTCTGATGTAGCTTCTTGCACTGTTTGCTTCTTCTGAAGAGTTTACAGCATTGCGATGCTCGTCTCAAAGTTGTTTGACTTACTGGTCAAAAATTTGATCATGCGCTTCTTCATAGTTGAGGTTTAAGTTACAATAATAGGCCATAAAATCTGTACTATAGAGAATGTGAGTTGGGTTGAGTATGTTAAATTTAGAGAAATAACACTGCATATACAAGACACACCTAGTGATATAACTATTCAATTGAAAGCAGGTTCTATCCACCCATAAACTTTGAAGGGTTAAATGAATTGCAGCTAAAGCTTTCGAGATTAGCAAACACTTTGACTCCATGCACATGACTTAGTCACCGTCATGAGGATCTCAGTGTTTCGGATCTTAACATTTATTTTATCGATTATTAGCAATTAGGAACATTCTAATAATTAACGAAATTCAGCCAATCATTTCATCTATCAACTTTGATCTAAAGACTCGTATCTCCAAGTCCCATCCAATAAAATGGTGAGTTGCATTTACAATCATACAAGTCTTCATGAGGCGCCACGTCAAGACACACCTAGTGATATAACTATTCAATTGAAAGCAGGTTCTATCCACCCATAAACTTTGAAGGGTTAAATGAATTGCAGCTAAAGCTTTCGAGATTAGCAAACACTTTGACTCCATGCACATGACTTAGTCACCGTCATGAGCATCTCAGTGTTTCGGATCTTAACATTTATTTTATCGATTATTAGCAATTAGGAACCTTCTAATAATTAACGAAATTCAGCCAATCATTTCATCTATCAACTTTGATCTAAAGACTCGTATCTCCAAGTCCCATCCAATAAAATGGTGAGTTGCATTTACAATCATACAAGTCTTCATGAGGCGCCACGTCAAGACACACCTAGTGATATAACTATTCAATTGAAAGCAGGTTCTATCCACCCATAAACTTTGAAGGGTTAAATGAATTGCAGCTAAAGCTTTCGAGATTAGCAAACACTTTGACTCCATGCACATGACTTAGTCACCGTCATGAGCATCTCAGTGTTTCGGATCTTAACATTTATTTCATCGATTATTAGCAATTAGGAACCTTCTAATAATTAACGAAATTCAGCCAATCATTTCATCTATCAACTTTAATCTAAAGACTCGTATCTCCAAGTCCCATCGAATAAAATGGTGAGTTGCATTTACAATCATACAAGTCTTCACGAGGCGCCATGTCAAGGATTGAATCATAGCTATTATTATACGTAAATTGATTAAAGCAGTCAACCGTAATCACCTCCAAAGTTAAGATAACTCATCCTCAAAATTTCCATAAATGTTTCACAACATCCTCTCCATCTTCTGGTTGGCATGATGAGGGTAAAGTGTTATGCTTAAGACAAATGAATTCTTGGATTATGACCAATAAGGTTGGTTCTGTACGAGTAGGATACTTAATCAGTAAGTGTGGTGCTCCTGGGGATTTTCAGTGTCAATCTGAAGGAGGTTGGAAAATAAAATGAATCATTGTATCTCAACTGATATGCTTAAGCTTTTAGTATTAATCATTAACAAATTGTGTTAAGATTGAGTTAATATCTCTCTAATTCATGTCCCAAAAAAATACATAAGCCTTTTAATTTGCATCTTATGAGGAAAAAAATAGATGCATAATTCAAAATTCTAATATGAAAATAGGCAAGCATGTAGATGAGCCCAAACATATATGAGCACATACATATACAAGCCCAGCCGTAGAAAATATCTCCTAAGCCAGCCCAAGAATAAAATCCTAGACTATATTTGATGGATTACAAATTTAAGGTTGAATTGTTAAACTCTAACAAACAGCACCACATACTAAGCTTCTTTCTGATAAGGTAAACTTTCAAGAGCTAGCTTGATTGGGCTTCTTAAATTCAAAAATCAAGTTGAGAAGCAGCTATCAAAAAGCTTCTTTGTAAACACATTTCAAACTACAACAAAAAAGTAGCTTTTCAAAAAAATTTCTACAAAAAAATAAAAAACCAGAGCATTTTATCCAAACACAATGTAACTACTTCACGGTAATTTTTGAAGACGCAAAGCAGATAAAAAGCTCAAAAAAATGATTCTTAAGTTTGCTTTCCAGATGCCCACTAAATTTGTAACTCCAAAGCTACACACAAGGCTAGCCTAATATATTTTTCCATATTCAAAAACCAAAGAGCCCTAGAAAATAGTGTGGCTGTCCTTCCATAGCTCCCATTAGAAAATGTATAAGCGGTATGAAGAAGTTAAGTAAAATTGAGCCACTGGTTCTACTGATTAACAGAAGTTACACTTCAAGAGGACCTCCCAATGAAATGATTGAGTTCCATGTTTGAATGATCTTCTAGCATTGAATACATGTCATTTACGATAAATAAAAATAAATCACATTATTTGGTATAACATTCAAACAGATATTGAAACCTCCAAATACAAATTTCAATGTCCGAGCAAAATGGAAATTTAAATGAATCTATCATAAAAAGTAACTTTGTAATGGAAGCCTATATAAAAGTCCCTGAAATTTGTAGTTTGACACGTGAATGATCGGTATTTGATCATCACAAGTAAACCATGATTTGATTTACATCTTAGCATTAAAATTTTTTCTAAAATTTTTGGAAATTTTCTAGATATTTTAAAACATTTCCTAAGCTTTTTGTAAGTTTTTTCAAGATCTGGATTTTCTTTTATTTTGTGACTCTAGAAAAGGCCAAGGGCCTAATTTCAGATTCCTCAATCTAATTTAATTCATGTCCATGATGATGCCAGCTGATTGAAATGCATAAATCAAATAATCATGATGTTCGACAAAACTGTTATTCTTTAAATAAGTTTAAATGTTTGTCACAAAAATCATCATAATGACTAATAAGGATAAATCCAATAGCATAGATCAAAACCTCAACCAACTAAAAAAACACACACACACTCGTTCCAAATCTCAATATACCTTCTCTCCCTTACTTTTACTGCCGATGCTCTGGCTTTCTCAATCCCCTCATATCCATCCACATAACAGCCTTCCTCAACATTATCATTTGACCTCTTACCAGTTAAAAGCATAATCACCAATAAGTAAAGATCACCTTCCATCTTTTTAAAAAAGACTTTCTTTTTGTTTATTTTTATTTCATTTCAATTTTCTCCCTCTATTTTATTTTGATTCCCTTCAACCACTGCAATATGGTCCTTAGTAATTGACATGTGACGTTGCATGCTCAATCAACATGCTACCAGAGCCGATGCATCATATTATGATGGACTATTTCTTACTAGTGCTCACCCAATGAAAATAAATATGGTGAAAAGAAATATGGGGAACATTGGGTGGACCAAAAATTTGATCCACAAGGGCTACAAACACAAAACAAGAACAAGATGACCCAATCTTAGTCCGAGTATACTATCAACACTAGCACTAGAAGATAAAACATACCAATTAAAGACCCATCATCAAAAGAATTTTCAAAAAACTATGCTTTGAAAAATGTGAAATAAGATTAAAATCAATAGGGCTCATTTTGTTTAGTGAGTTAAAAATGTAAATTAAAATAAATATATGCATTTTTATTTTTCTGGTGTTTGGTGTGAGGCAAAGTAAATGTAGAGTAATTTCTAAAAATTCTAAAACACTCCATATGGATCATTTTTGAGGAACTATGAATTCAGCCAATTTTACCTCCTTAGCTCAAAATCCAAATCAATCCCAAACCGTCTACCAATCACTCTTAACTTCATGTTGACCACATAAACATTCAACCATCATCCAGGACCCCACGCCATGGTCCAGATGACACCATGCCCATCATCCCTAACCTGCACTGACAGCCCTGACCGAGCAAGCCACAGTCCGCATCATCGCTGGCCAACATCCCTCTCGCGCCCAAAACAAATGTCAAAATATAACATATTTCATTTTTCAATCTGTGAAACACAATAATAAAAATAATAATAATGATGATGATGATGATTTCAAAACTGACCAAACAACCTGAAGAAATCAAAATAAAATGTATTTAATTTATACTGTGATCAGAATATGCATGCTCATAAATACTTGCAACCAAACATCTTATACTGTAATCGAAATATGCATGTTCATAAGTACTTGCAACCAAACATCCCCTGTGCACATGCATTTTAATGTGTCGTCTAGCAAAAGATGCGATTTAAGTTATTAGGTAGATCCCGTAAATCTGGAATTTACTAAATCCTAAATTGATTAAATCCGGAAAACTGTCTCGCAATGGATTTACTAAATCCTAAAAAACCAATAAAACTATTTGGTAAAAAGTTGAGCAAATACAATAACTCTTTCATCAAATCCTGTGACTCTGCAGGTTCGTTGGATTTAGTAAATTCGGTATTTTAAGGCCTAAATCAGTGAAAATACGGATTTATCAAATTCTCAGCTTTATTTTGTCTAAAATGACCATCTCACAGGATTTAGCCTGCATTCAAGTCAAATCCTGGCTAAATCCGCTGCCAGACAGGCCCTAAAAGACAAATTTTCATTCTCTGTTTTAATTTTTAGACAGATATTCCAATATTTTAATTGACGAATATCTTGACAACAGTAAAAAAAACCCCCATACTTTTACATAAAAAAAATAACTTCACTACTCCGCCAGATCCCTTTGTAAGTGATTATCTACCATTTCAAAATTTTGTAAAAATTCGTTACAAAGATTTTCTGCTTGGAGGTAAAATTTAGTTGAATGAATTAGAAAAGCATGACATAAAATATAGCTAACTAGATATCTATTCTCATACAAAGGACAACATACATAAGATGGCACAATTCAAACTCCATATGTTCCTCAATATATGGTGAACCATAGATAGCCAAATAGATAAACAGGAAAAAAAAAATTAGAACATGGCGGGAAGTATGAATAAATTCTTCCTTCAATACCTCGTTGTTGGAATGAAAAACGAAATCAAAGTTCGATTGGCAAGAGCTGAGAGAGCGAAAGTGCCTTGTCTTTCTCACAAATCCTCAGAATTCTTTGTCTTTTTCCAGAATGCTCCGGCAATAGTCTCTACTAGGCCTCGCTGCGCTTCCATTACCATCTCCAATCTCCTCGACTCCATCTCCATCCACTCTCGCTCCTTCTCTCTCATCATCTCTATTCTCTTCCTTTCCATCCTAACAAAGCCCTCCCCAAATCTCCTTAGCTCTGCTGCCAGTTCAGTAAGCCCTCCTCCTCTCCCATCGCCCCCTTCGTCAGCCTCCTCTTCATTATCTTCATCATTGTCCTCCGCATCTTCCACGTCAGCCAGTCTCTTCGCCGGCCTCGCATTTCCTGAACCCCTGGCGCTCCCTCGCAGAACCGCTTCTCCAAGAATCCCGTTGACGCTCCGCTTGTTGCTGAGTGGAGACTTGAAGTCGGAGCAGGAGGACGACGACGCGGGGGCTGGTGGCGTTGGGCGGGCGGAGATAAGCAATGGCCCACGCTCCATTCTATCGATGCGGTCAAAGAAGGGCCACAGGGAATGTACAGGGCGGAGGCGCTCGGAGCGGTAACGCTTGCGGAGCTTCTCGATCTTATGGCGGCACTGTGTGCCGCTCTTAGATGGGCGGTTGAGACCGCAGCGGTGGGCAACTTCGACGGCGACGTCCTCCCACTGCTTTGCTCTGAGCGGGCCGCGTTTAGAAGAGTTCCATTTCTCCTCGTACACATCGATCAGATGGGAAGTTTCTAGATCTGCCCATGTGGAGCCCGGGTTTGACTTGCTAACAACAGCCACTGTCATCGGTGTCGCCTGATCTCGCTCCGATGGTCCATCCGCGGCCATGGCTTTCGGGTGGGAGTTGGAGATGGGCATAGGGTTAGGGTTAGGGTTACGATTTGTAGTGTACAATAGGATGAGGGCATGGTAAGTGGTTGTGGGCGCGGTGGTTGTGGTGGTGCGGGAATCAGATAAGGTTGGATCGCTGACAAGTGACTGAAGTTCTAATTTCATCATCTTTTACTTCTTTTTCTTTGGTACACCCAACAAAATTTAATCATAAAAATTAAAATTACAAAAAAAGGGTCATCATAAACAAAAGAAAGTATGAGCCTAAGAAAAAATAAGGGACACATAAAAAAAATGCTAAAAAGAGGGCAAAAATAGATCCAAAAGAATAGGGACCGGCGAGAGCTCAAACAATACAACAACCTCAATAAAAAGCTTTGTTCAGACAATGTCGAGTAATATATGAGATAGAGCACCAGCATGTCGAAGCATAAGACCAAAAAATACAACATTTCTGCATAGAAACGAGCCAAAAGTGAGAGAGACCATACAAATATAACCAAGTCACATTCTTTTTAGTACGTCGATTGAGCATATAGTTATTGTTGTAGATTTCATCATTGCTCTAAAAAATGCCAATAGAATGAACGCGATCAGAATTCCATCAAGGACATGAAAATGTCCGGTTAAATTCCAAATCCAAAGCCAATATTCTTAAGTAGCCCCAAAAACAATGTCGTTCGTCCATGAAACAAATCAATCCAACAGTAGAAAACCAACAACAATAACATCATCCAAACAAAAAAGAACGCAATAAAAAACCATCCAGAATAAAGATTGACTCGCCAAAACTTACTAGGGCGTAAGTATGTCGTACAACGCAAGTGCACGTGTCATGTAGTAATGCGGTACAAGAATATCGTATATCGATCCCACAAGAAAAGTGTTTATTCATTTCCATGAAAAAATCTTTAGTTTACTAATTTAGTTAACCTTGCATAGCATCTACCAAAAGGAAGTTTTTAAGTCATAAGGTCCTACCAAAATAAAGAATTTAGCCATTTAAAAAAAATAATAGAAAACAAGAGGGCAGTTCGTGAGTTCCTTCAGAATAGATGAGGTTTGTGCCTCTGTGAATTGTGGCGATCGTGATTTTTTCTAAAAGTACTCCTAATGCCAATGTCTAGATCAAAAGAAGCATAGAAACCATGAAATTGAGGCTTCCACAATCTTCATGGCATTCTACATGACTTTTTTGATCCCTTGGTATGATTGTAAAATCCACTGGAATATGTCTATCCTCTTGGAATTATGTGGTTAACCATTTGTTTCTACTACACAATGATTAAAAGATATTGTTTCACGAAACATTTTAATTTTCTAGTTGGTCAGATCAGGAGTAAATTAAGTTCGAAGGTTAAGCAACAACATATGTCATGAAAGCACAAGAAATCGATTAACAAAAAAAAATTACAAAAAATCCATGATAAATCCACTTCTCCCTACATCATAGAGACACGAAGAGAGGTTTAGTCGTTCATTACAGAGAAGATCATAGCAAAAAATACCATATAAAAATCTTTTACAAGCAACATCAATATGAAAAACTTACAAGAACTTGTTTCCTCTACAAAGTCGGCACATCTTCCTCTCATACAAACCCTCTCACAACTCACAAAGCAAAGAAAACTCATCCTTAAAGGTTTCAACCCAAGAAAGAAAATCATCCTCAAAATTCCGCTCAAAATCTCTCCCTAATTCTCTTATTTCAACCTCCAAACCTTCTCAAATGCAAAAAATCTCTCCAAGTAGCCCTAAAATTTGATTTTGTAGCAAGAATTATGGTTTGGGCCATCAAATTTCCTTCTTAATGTGTTTCCTATTCTTCGGCATGGTCACAATCATTTCCGACGTGGAGATGCCACTAAACTGTGTGGTCAAATCGTTTTTGACGTTCTCATGCCGACCATGTTTGATAAGTGGCACAGTCACACTGCTTCGAGACACTTTTCTGTTGGATTTTATCATTTCAACTTTTTCATATTAAATTCCTACATCCTGCACAATATGAACAAGCTACATTTATCAAGCATAAATCTGTGATAAAATAAATAAAATTAACATGTAAAATACAGAAAAAATTACGTAAAATTGACACATTTCAATATCTTCAAACTTACTTTATTACTTGCTCTCAAGTAATCACATGGCTAAATTGATATTTTTTATATAAATAGCACTCCTGAAGAGTTCTGTTCTTCCAAACTATTTTATCAAATTTATGAAGAAGTATGAAATGTTATTTAGACCTAAATATCTTTAAAGATTAATGACTTGAAATTTCTTTTTTTCCCTTCTTTCTTTTCTTAAGATAATCCCATAGATGTTTAAATTTGTGTCATTTAGAATCTCTTTCACAAACATTAAATATCTTTAGCACAATTTCAATGGATTTTAGCCAATTCAAAGTTCACTTAACTCTTATCATTGAAAATAACTTATACTATAATTTTAATTTAGAGGATCAAGGCTCATTTTATTCCTTAACTCTCATTGGACTCCCTTGAACTTTCTGCTTTTAAATTTTTGTTGTGCCAACCATAAGCTTCTTCTCAAGAAATTTTCACTTCTTTATTTTTTCCTTTCTTTTTTTCTTTTTTCTTTTTTCTCCTAAGAATTACTATATCTGGTTGGATACTTTTTATTTTCTAACTTTTCTATTAACATGTTAAAGGGGGTTATGTTTCTTAAGCAATAAAACTAAACACCTAATTATTTTAATGTCCTGCATCTAAGTTATTATTTCTAGTTAAAACTTAAGATCTCATTAATTTGGTTGAAATGGACTGAAAATGATTAATGATATTTTTAGTTGGCTACTCAATATCTAAATTACCCCTTTTAAACAATTTTTGGGTTTCTTTTAAATGAAGTTTGAAGTTGTTAAGTTTTATAATCCCTCATTACTCATTAATGTTAATCCTTTCTAAATAATATTTATTGACTTTAAGTAGATTACGATAAGCAGTTTAAATAAATCAAAAACTTTCGGCAGGAGTTACAAAATGAAGTAAATAGTAGTTCGTTGAGCTATGTGATTTACTTATCAGGTTTATAATAAGGTAGATTCTTCCCTCCCAAACATGTTTTTTTCAATACATGCATTGCAGAAAAGTAAAAATAAAAATATCAGCAAGTAAATGCAACAAAAGTCAGAATAGACTGTATAATAAGAATCTCAAAAGGAAAAGTATGAGCTCAATAGTTATTTTATCTAAAAAACATAATTAAAATAGCAGTATAACAGTACAAATATTATATATATATATATATATATATATATATATTGCCACTTCTCAAAAAAACAAGATTATGCTTCTTTAAATGGAAAAAAAAAATATTGAAGTAAATTTCAAAACAAATGCATAAAGTAAAAACATGCTTAACATATTAAATGACGCTTAGGTTGCTTCACAAAATAACGCTTGGTTTAACGTTCTCAGTCAGATCAATCCCTAATGGTCATCCTAAATTGGGTCTCCAGGATCGAAGTGCCAACTTAGTAATCCTTAGCCCTTTATTTCAGATTCAGCTTGTTCTGGAGTTTCTAGCAAGATTGACTTCTTGGTTTTTTTCAAAAAATTATGATCATGTTCTAACCACATACTGAGGACTTGCAATAACCTCTCACTTTCAACCAGGTAATCAATAGTAGTTCAAATACTTAGGTTGAGGTGGTCTTCTAACATATATGGGCTTTAGTGGTTAAGTTTTTTCTATCGAAAGAGTAATATTTTCGTCAATCAAGTTCCAAAAAAAATAATCAGTTATTTGTTACTCTTCCAAGTGAACATCCTCAAATTTCGTGGATTGGATTTGTTTCCCTTTAATCGCATTTCCAATTCTTTGAATGTGAATATTCTTAGAGGCTTGGGGCAGGTTGGATGATTTTAAGACATCAAACATAAATGCTTGGTCGTTTTCTCTCAAAATTACATCCCCCTCCTCAACATCAATATTGGATCTGCGAGCAGCTAAGAATGGTCTCCCAAAAATCACATGCATTCATTTATTAGCTTTTACATCTAGAATTACAAAATGAGCCAAGAAAGTAAGCCTATTCAAAGTAACATGCAGGCATTTAACCATGCATAATGTTGAGTCACAGATTGGTTTGCTAACTAATGTGTTGGATTGACAAGTTTAATTACTCCTCTTCCAAGTTATTTAAAAATATTGAGGGACATAAGATTTACACTGACGTCCATATCACAAAGTGTTTTTCTTCTAAACTCGACTATAGTATATGGGATGGTAAAACTATCAAGGTCTTAACTGGGCTTCAGTGGCCTTTTAGGGAACTATGATGGAAGTCTCTTAATTGAGCTAATTGAAATGGCAGAGGACACTTTACCTAACTTGGATCTAACATGTATGTTAGCCTCTGGTTGGTTGGCTTCCTTCTCTACTCCAGTCTTGATTCTTGCCACCTTACACTGCTCCAAATTTTGATCTTTTTTATTTACTCTTGTATTGTTGGGCAGTGCTGTTGTGGATCAATTATTCATTGAATTCACTAGCTATCCTAATTAATTTTCTAAATTATTTTTTTCCACAAGTTGACTTTGTAAAGTGTTCTCCATTTGTATCACTAACTCCTCAATAAGTGCTTCTTTTTGGTATGGGAGTTACCCTGGAATCCTGGTGGATATTGTGGTTTCTGAGATGGATTTCCTTGGTTTTGCCAATTATCTACATGGTTATTTTGATTGTTCCCCTATTGTTGTTTGTTGTTATTCCAATAGATATTTGGGTGGTTCTTCTAGCATAGGTTTTAGGTGTTGGGATAGAGGTTATGACTAAGATTTCTTATGGCATTTATAGATTTTATGGCTGAGATGTTAGGATCTATCATCAGTCCATCAATTAATCCATCATTGGCTGGCAGTTCAAAGACTAGATTCATCTCTAAATTGTCTATTATTTTAGAAATTACAACTACTTAGGTGTTCAAGATGGCTAAGACATTGATTCATAACACTAGCTGACTTCTAGGATGTAACTCATTCAGTAGGTCATTGAAATTCTTGGTGGCCATTTTTTTCTATCAATTGATAGGCTTAATCAAAAGGTTGAGACATTAAGGTTCCTCCTACAACTTTGTTTATTATAGATCTCAAGCAGCCTATCAGTCCATTGTAAGAAGTTTGAATGATTAGCCAATAAAGTATGGCATGATATGGGCACCTCCTAAGTATTTTTTTTGA